ACATTTTCAGAGACGTAACTCCATCAAGGAATTGTCTATATCTTTGTTTCTGACAAGATTAGCAGCATGGATATTAGCAGCTGATTGTGAAACTTTTCAACATCATTTCCTTCAAGACAAATTTCATCTTTACCAAGTTTCTTAACAACAACTCCATCATACATCTCAATATGTCTAGTTCTCTTTTCTCCAAGGAAGTTTTGGACTTGAATTGATTTACCATCATCAGCAATAACTAAGGTAACTGGGAAGTGAGCATATACAACTCTCATCTTATATTGATATCCTTTAGTAACTCCTGTAATCATATTTTTAATATGTGATGCAATAGTTCTAACAACAGCTGAATCTCTTCTATTTCCATACCACATATCAATAACAATTACATTTTCTTTTGGTCCTTCCTTCTTTACAACAAGTTTACTAGCATAAATATCTACTTTTGGATGTTGGAATTCTCTTGTGAGAGTTCCTCTTGGTCCAGTAACTTTAATATTCTTTCTATTGATTTCAATGGTGACTCCTTCTGGAATAACAACATGTTCAGTTTTCTTCAATAATCTTGGCATCTATTTCATTAATATCTTTCTTATTTTGTCTTTATGACTTAAATTTCTTTTAAAATTAACGAGCTATTTCTGATTATTTATTAAATAATCAAATCTCGTCTTCAACTCTTCATTTTAAAAAGAAAGAGGGACACAAACTTTTACTCACCAAAGTAATCAATTACTATAACCCTATTTTATAGTTTTCATCTTTTAATAAAACTATTAATACTTTTCTTATTATTTCTTAATTTTTCTTTTTATTTTATTTTTTAAATATTTTTTTATTTCTTATTTAAAATTTTGTTTTTTTTTTGTTTTTCTTTATTTTATGGATAAACAAAAAAGAAATCTTTAAATACATCTCATAAAAAGATCTTGTATCTTACACTTCTATTTAAGAGAAAATGTCATTTACAAATCGTCCAACAATACCAGCAAGAACTATTGTAGAATCTATTCGAAGTGGAAGATTAAATCAAGTTTCAGAACCATTATTAGGACAAAATACAATTACACAAGAATATCTTACTATTCTTATTCACACAATGGCAAAAGATCCAACACGTTTACAAACGTATTTAGATCGACTTGATTTTACAAGTAATAATTTAGATATTGAAAAAACAATTTTTGAATTAATTGAAGCAGGAATGTCAGAAAATGCAAAGAAATTTGCAGAGAAAAGATCACCAGGAAGTTATATAAAAATATTATTAAGAAGTGCTATAAGTTCATCACCATATAAAGCATTAGAAATATATGGAAATATTATAAGTTATATTGATCATCAACAATATATAAATAAAGTAGAATTAATAAAAGTATTTGGCAAAGTAATTGTTGATTCACTTTTAGATTATAAAGAGAAAGAAGAAGCAATAAAAGATATAAAAAGAATAACAAATATATTAATAAATTTGTTTTTAGATAAACCAAGTAATGCAGCACGATTAGATCCAGGAGAATTTCTCATGTATGGAAAATTGTCAAAGTGAT